GATATCAATTCAAAGTATCCGAGGTGGAGGGTGTATCAACCCATATTGGCGTGTTATATTTCATCTATGAATCTCATTAATGAGATACACACACACACACACAATGTAAATGCTATTTCTGCTATTTTTAAAACTTTTTGTAATGGATGGCGTAGTGTAGGCTTTTTCCTCACTTTTTTGTATGTCTTTCTGTAGGTTTTTGTTTTAACATCCCTACATGTAGATATAAAAATCAACCCTTTTTATGACGTCTTTGCTTACTTTGTCTTTGCTGCCAACCAGTTCACACACTACAAGTTGAACAAGATAACGTGTGACAGAGATGGGATCATGGGAATTTTAATGATCTATTGTCGTCGTGTGACCATAGATTATCATCCATGGTGTGCATGTGACCTCTAGTACTAGGGGCGCGGACCTGAAGCGGAAGTTGTCTTGGAAGCAGTTAGGGCTATACAGTTTTATAGGTACCAAGAATAATAATTACTTTAAACTTTTACTTTCCTCGTCTTCGCTGAAACTCTTCCCTAAACTACTCTCAGTAAGTTGAGTAAAGCACTTGCATGTGGCAAACTAAATCAGAAAATCAACGTTTAATTTTGGCTTTTCGCGCTAAAATCGCAGCATAGCGTCGTATTCAGTAGAAGAAGCCACCCAATGTGAACACGGATTATTTTTAAAAGCGCATGTGATTATGTGAAAAGGCTTTAACTGCAGCATAATAATTAGCCCATATTTGGACTGTTATCTTCATTAAGATAAATTACATGTTTTGCTAGAATACAAGTAGCAGAGTAATGGAGGAAAAAAGAGTGAGTTATTTATAAAGTTACTTTTAGTATAATAATTATTCAAAATCATTCCTTTCTGGATGACAATAGAGACATAGCACAGTAAGTTTACTTTACCTATATCATATGAATATAATTATGATTATTTATTTTTAGGTTGTAAGTACATGGCAGGCTATATTGAACTTGATTGTATTAATTATTTTCTTTTTACCTATTGCATCACACTGTCACAATAGCCAGCTAGTGATATGGTAAGCTCACTTTTTGTATTTTATTGCTACATAATAATTCATTTTTGCTGTAGTATCAAAGACAATCTGTAAGTGAAATTAACACATTAATAGCACTCTTAGATGTACATACAGAGACTCAGAGATGAAACTTTTGCAGAGAAGTATGAAGAAAAGGAGCTAATGAAACCACAGCCTAAAATAGGTTAGGTTTTCCAAAAATTTACCATTATTTGTTTATTTTTGAAAAGAGTATGATAAAAATGTAGCAGAAGAAGAGGTTGAAGTTGCTTATTCTAGAATAATGCTTCTTGGATCAGCTGGGGTTGGAAAAACATGTTTCACTCGATCGCTCATGAAAAAAAAATTTCAAAAAGATACTAACAGTACTATAGTATCTAAGCTCCATTCTGTAGTGCCAGTTAATAGGCGATCAAATAAGTCAAATAATGACTATAGAGGTCAAGATAAATATGCTCCTATTGCACATACTTCACAGAATGATCATAGGCAAACTACTCCATTAGCTCGTCCAGTTCAGTACAGGGCTCACATGGTTAATGAAAAGAAAAAATGGAAAGAAGTTGATGAAAATGATGAAATAGAAGAAGTTGCCCGTTTAATTTCTGCAGTTTATGAAAAAGCTTCTGGTTCGGAAGATCTTCGCACTGCAGTAGCTGCTTTGTCATTGTATAAAGTAGATTTATCACTGAGCCTTTCAGAATTATCAGTTCGAGAAATTCAACGAAAAGAAGTTGATTCATTCCTT